ATAGTGCCTCCCAACGGATAGGTCTTAAGATGAATATGGACAAAACAAAGATCATGTTTAATGTCCATGTCACACCTATGCCGGTAGTTGTTGGGAGCACTAAGCTCGAAGTTGTTGACGAGTACGTTTACCGGGACAAATAGTCCGACTAGGTAAGTCCAACTTCGACCGAGAGGTCAATCGACGGATTCAATTCGGCTGGGCAGCGTTCGGGAAATTACGACACATCTTCTCGTCAGGTATACCTCAATCTCTGAAAACTAAAGTGTACAACCAGTGCGCGTTGCCAGTGATGACTTACGGATCAGAGACGTGGTCCTTCACTGCTGGCCGTATGAGGACGCTCAAAGTCGCTCAGCGAGCTATGGAGAGGGCTATGCTCGGAGTTTTTCTGCGTGATAGACTCAGAAATGAGGATATCCGCAGTAGAACCAGAGTGACCGACATAGCACAACGGATTAGTAAGCTGAAGTGGCAATGGGCCGGCCATATAGCTCGAAGAACCGATAACCGATGGGGAAGAAAGGTTCTCGAGTGGCAGCCTCGTACCGGTAGGCGTGGTATAGGGCGACCCCCCACTAGATGGAGTGACGACCGGGTAAGATTTGCAAGAAGTCGATGGATGCAGGTGGCTCAGGACCGTGCTTTGTGGCATTACTTGGGGGAGGCCTATGTTCAGCAGTGGACTTGTGAAGGGCTGTGATGATGATGATTTTTATATAAATAAAATTGTAGTTTCTGTCTTGTCTTGTCTTGTCTTGTCAAGTAGCGGCCGTTTTTGTCTTACTGCTCCTTATGCCTTGTCTCATTTTTAAGAAGATTTTTCGATAATAGGAAATAGTCCGTCCTGCCTCAACACGTGTTGCCGGATTTCAAACTGTACGGAGCACATGGTCAATCAGCACAAAATTAACGATTACATGGGCGCGTGCGGGGATGGAACTTGGGTTACTCGTGTATGACAATTTTTTTACAATTCAATGGTAAGAAAAAGCGTAAAGAATATTACTTATTAAAAGGATTGTATCACTAAAATACGTGGATCATATTTCAAGATGTTGAATAACAGTAATTATTAGTTATATCTATCACTATCACTTTTGATGTATCACTATCATAAGTCCACCGCTGAACATAGACCTAAATTTGAAAATAATTAAAAATCGCGGGGGGCTAGGTCTGGACTGTATGGTAGGTGATTGATTTATTCAAATCCGGTTTTATTCGGCGCACGCCTTGCAACTCGCGCAGTGTGCACGGGTGCATTGTCCTGCAAAAATAGGACTCCTTTCGCCAGTTTGCCTCTTACTTTTTTTAACAAAAATGCAGCGTTTGTTGTACTATTCTTAGGAAGGTAGTCAATTAATAAAATTCCTTCATATTCCAAAAAACAGTGGCTATAAGCTTAGATGCCCATCACTCCACTTTAAATTTCCGTGGCGTTTTTCTCCCTTTTCAATCCATTGCTTTGACTTTTGTTTTGACTCTGGATCGTATTGCCGGATCCATGTTTCATCAACAATGACAATGCCAAAAAAAAACACACATGCCCAAAAAATCCTGCAAAGTTGTGACTCGACGCTGCTTGTCCATCAGAATAAGCATTTTTGGCACTCATCATGCACACACCTTTTGTACGTGCAGGTGAGAATGCAAAATATCGCCGATTCTTTGCTTGCTAATGCCTATGGCTTTGGCTATTTACCACAACTTGATTCGCGATCTACTATAACAAGTTTCCTTACCTTCAATATTTTCTTCGTTAACGGCAGTGTTTGGCATTGGAGTCCATTCCTCGGACTCCAGGTCAGGGCATCTTGAACTCTCTGCCATGAATGAATTTTCGTCTCCAACGAATTACGGTGGCAAATGAAGATCCAGACTCCCCATAAACTGACTATATCTCTTCAAATATTTTCGTCGACGTATTGTTCTTCTTTGTGAGGAATTTTATGACAGCTCTGTACTCCAATTTCGTACAATGCGCGGATGACTGAGACATGATTATTTTTACGAATTAATTACCTACTAAAAGAGTTAAGCTGGACCCACATTTATAGCATTTCGGTGTATATATCTCCATTGCGTGGCCTCAGCTCGTATCATAATAGCTTGCTTGGACGCAAGATGATACCCGTTAATGATGCACGCCGTATCTGATACGGCCCTATCCGCAATAACCGCATATCTTGGTATACCCTGTATCCGATACGCGTATCACGATCGGTGGTATGGGCGTATTTTGAGACTGTATCACTATACTGTATCGCGACACGATACGTGTTACACCGCAAACCATCCTGTGTCGGTTTTTCCGCGAAAATCAAAGGGGATACCCGTCATATTGAACAACAACAAGTTTGGACGTGAATGCATTTGATACGCGATCATTTCCTGTGTTCCGCCCGCCATTTCTAGGTTTGTGAAAGAGGATAAACATTGAAGATGAGCTGGAATAACGAAAGTGTTATACTCGTAAAACTAATCGATGCCTATAAAAGAAAAGAAGTGTTATAGGACCCCAAGCACAAGAATTACTTCAACAAAGTGTTGAAGAAAGACGCTTTGGACGAACTGGAGGTAGAGTTATAACGTCCTCTGGAACAAATTAAAAAGAAGATGGATTACGTGCTGGCGGCCCTTCGGCGGGAAAAACAAAAAAATTATAAATCAAAAACTTCAGGTCAAGGTAAGTATTTTTATTGAATTATATAGGTACATTTTTACAATGCTTACGTGTATTTTAATCGCTTACCACACAATTACTTATTACATAATTACATACCAAACAATTTACTTAGGAGAAGGTGTTGTTTGTAACTATTTAACTAATGATGTGAAACTATATGTTCACTAAGGAGGATATTCGTAAATTAATAATACACAGCGCGAGACAATAATGACACTCCCCCACGACCCCTCGTATAGCTTGTATTGATTTATTGCTTCTAAAGCTGATACTATTGTCTAAAATAATCGGACCAACAACAAGCGCTCAAATCACAAGTTGAACAAAAAATTTGTATGCATTGTGTGTTATAAAACAATGAAATAGGTCCGCAGTATTTAGATAAATGATTAGCTACATTTCACACGTCGGCTTTGCTAAAGGTGATTCATTTCATTTCGCACTGCAAGCAATTTGACTTTGTTGGTGTGTTATACTCGTAGTCATCCTTTGCGTCGGAAAATCCATTTCATGCAACTAGGGTTTTTAGAATCAGAGAGGATAAAAAGACCTGCGTGACCTAAGTGAGCGTACACTTAATTTTTTTTGTATTTTTTTAAATATTAGGATAGCCATCTCAATTTCACCTATAGTAATCAATGTGATATATGTGATTGATTAGATAACTATGGAGATTAAGGTACAATGGCAATTAAAGTACGGTACTTTATTGAAGTTGTGAGAACTTAATTTGCTCATTTACGCATAATGAACTAAAATGATAATACACCCCATCCTCGATAATACGACACGTGTTTTGCCTCAATACCAGGTGTTCCGCCCGCCATTTCTAGGTTTGTGAAAGAGGATAAACATTGAAGATGAGCTGGGATAACGAAAGTTTTATAAAACTAATCGATGCCTATAAAAGAAAAGAAGTGTTATAGGACCCCAAGCACAAGAATTACTTCAACAAAGTGTTGAAGAAAGACGCTTTGGACGAACTGGAGGTAGAGTTATAACGTCCTCTGGAACAAATTAAAAAGAAGATGGATTACGTGCTGGCGGCCCTTCGGCGGGAAAAACAAAAAAAAAATATAAATCAAAAACTGCAGGTCAAGGTAAGTATTTTTATTGAATTATATAGGTACATTTTTACTATGCTTACGTGTATTTTAATCGCCTACCACACAATTACTTATTACATAATTACATACCAAACAATTTACTTAGGAGAAGGTGTCGTTTGTAACTATTTCTTTAAGTGTGGTTTTATTTTATTATAGGTTCTCATCACATATGCTGATTCTTTTCGACAGAAACAAGCCACGAGACATAATACTGTAAATATAGCTGTAACTTATTAAGTTTGTAAATTAATGAACCGTATTAATAAAATAAGCATTTAAAGCAATTTCCCAACCGTAAAGTGTCATTTCTGCTGCAAAATCGTTCCTATTTCACCTATGCATCATTTTGCCATGGTAATGTTCCCTCATTTATAATAATATTCAGCAATTTGGTCTCTCATATTAACTGCTGTTAATGTTGATCTACGAAGAATTTTCGTTATTGGCAAAAACTTTGTTGTGGCGCTATTATCCACCCTCTATATTCCGGGTACTATTGTGCCTTCCATTTCTGTATCAAATGTACCTCTCGGCGTGTACATATTAACAGAATTTGGGCTTCTCCGTAAAAAATTATGAAGGTGGTATATAGTCATCACTATCAACTGAGCCTTTTCAGGTTCAGGCAGCATTGGTTTCCTTAAAACTCTAAATACACTAGATAGAATACCAAAAGCATTTTCTACTACCCTTCGTGTTTTTGATAGTCTATAGTTAAATACACGTTTCATTGATCCTTGGCATGTTGCCCTAAATAGGGTTTCACAATATGGTAGCTTAAAGGAAATACACCATCAGCAATAAAGTAATGTGGAACAATGATATGTGTTCCTTTTTATGCCTTCGGGGTGGAAAATTAAATAATTCATTATCAATTTTTCTCTTCAATACTGAATCATTAAATACCCCACCATCTGAAATCCTTCTTTGACACCCAACATCCACAAATAAGAAGTTATAGGCACCTACAAGAGCTAACATAAAAACACTGAAAAAGTCCTTGTAGTTAAAAAAACTCCGATCCAGATTTAAAAGGAGCCTGCAACATTATATGCTTCCCATCCATTGAACCAACTACGTTTGGAAGGTTCCACATATTCAGAAATTCTGCCCTGATTTGTGGCCATTCATTAGGCGTGTACGGTAACTGTAACAAACATCAGGATATTAAATTAAATTAATATTATAATTTATAATTGCAGGAAGATTTAACTGAGGACGATGACAAAGAACAAGTACTCGACAATGGCTCTGAAGGATCAGCGGAGGAAGGAATCTGGAACCAAGCACTTTTGAACGAGGTACCTAAGACTCCCGAAAGTCAACTAGATGAGAGCCAAGTGACTATGACGCATGAGTCCATGAACCCAGCGTCTGCAGCGATAAAATTCAAGCATTCTTTACCAATAAAAAAGGCAAAAAAGTGTATCGCCAAAGGACCCAATCCTAAGTGAAACATTGCATTTGATAAGGAGTTCAGCACAAGCTGTTACTGCTACCCTTGCCAGCACTGCTTCATCTCTAGATGTTGCACCTGACCATTATCAAATTTACGCAAATTATTTAGCGTCCAAAAAAAATACATAGCCATTACTTTCATGGCTGTTGAACGTTATAAAATACGTACGAACGAACGTAAATAACATATTGTTTTCTGCTGATAGAGAACAGTTTAACTGGGAAGGAGGTTATCAAATCGACCAACTCCAGTCAAGCATCTACACCGGCTTCATCGCCAAATCAGAATGTTGCTAATTTTGAAAATTCGCAACATTCTGATGATTTCAGTGACCTTATAAGATTCAATAATATGTAATTTTACGGTACTATAATAATAAAATACGCCTTACCTTTATTTGTTGTTTTAATACATTGAGAATAGCTTGACAGGTCTCTGGTATTATTAGACTTATTGCTTGTTTCGTTACTCTGAAAATATATTACAAACTTGTAAAAGAATCCCCACTTGCGAGGAATCTTAGAGTGATATTAAGTCTTTCTTTCACCGAAATCGCCTTTCTAAATTTGGTATCAGTTTTTTGAATAATTAGGCCAATCATGTTTATTAAATACTTGAAATCAATAGGCGACATGCGAGTGAAGTTTTTGTATTTTCCACTCGTATGCTGAAATTCTAAATCTCGCATCAATGGTATTCCGCCATTTTTGTTTCGGTTTCTAAACAATTCAAGCTAGCGCCGTCTACGTCTGAGTTTTACTTTTGTTGAAATACTATTAATGACAATATAAGAGGCGCAAGTCACTATTAAACTCTGAGCAAATGCGTACGATAACATGGCTGAACCGTTTGGGAACGAAGCCATGACTGAACCGTTCAAGAGGATAAGGTGCTAACTATGGACGCGTTTTGTACAAAATACGCCTTAATAATACGACATGGACAAAATGAGCGTCCATATTTATGATACAAATACTCGATAAGATACAACTGTTCGTGATACATCAAGATGCTACAAAGTGGATCCTCCTTAATGATGCTAATGATGTGAAACTATATGTTCACTAAGGACGATATTCGTAAATTAATAATACACAGCGCGAGACAATAATGACAATCCCCCACGACCCCTCGTATGGCTTGTATTGATTTATTGCTTCTAAAGCTGATACTATTGTCTAAAATAATCGGACCAACAACAAGCGCTCAAATCACAAGTTGAACAAAAAATTTGTATGCATTGTGTGTTATAAAACAATGGAATGGGTCCGCAGTATTTAGATAAGTGATTAGCTACATTTCACACGTCGGCTTTGCTAAAGGTGATTCATTTCATTTCGCACTGCAAGCAATTTGACTTTGTTGATGAGTTATAGTCATCCTTTGCGTCGGAAAATCCATTTCATGCAACTATAGGGTTTTTAGAATCAGAGAGGATAATAAAAAGACCTGCGTGACCTAAGTGAGCGTACACTTATTTTTTTTTTGTATTTTTTTAAATACTAGGATAGCCATTTCAATTTCACCTATACTAATCAATGTGATATATATGATTGATTAGATAACTATGGAGATTAAGGTACAATGGCAATTAAAGTACGGTACGGTACGGTACTCATTTACGCATAATGAACTAAAATGATAATACACCCCATCCTCGATAATACGACACGTGTTTTGCCTCAATACCAGGTATCGTCAGGTGAAGTAAACTCTGCGGAGGCTGACCGCTAAGAGAAGGTAGTGACGGGGATAGAGCACGCAATTAAGGTAGTTTTGGAGGTGGTCTTCAAACTGGGCAGGACATATCATATCATATTATTTCATTACGCGTAAATGAGCAAATTCGATTCTAACAATTTCAAAATACTCTATTTCGACAAAGGAACGCCGGATTCTATTAAGAACGATACTTTAGTTCAACAAGCTATATTACAGTGAGTGATTCTTGAAGTTTCTCTGTCTGATTAAATCTGTCGCAAATATAGGAGGGAAAAGCCATAGTAGTAAATTAATAACTTAGTTAAATGGATAAACAAGCTGAGGTAGCTGGTTATAATGGGTTGTAGAATTTACTACTAATGGAGATAGAAAGTTTTTGAGTGGTAGCTTCGTGCTGCCAAACCTTCACTGAAGAACAAGTCCAAGCAATAAGGTATTTGCAGTGCGATTGTCTAACTTCAGGTGGAATCGTGTTCGGCTTTGTTTATGAATTTTTGGTTTAGTTATATTGTGTGAATGCATCAGTATCGATTATAATACGATGTTTTTTTAAACATTTATTATCATATGTTAATTTACAGAATATAATAGAATAATAATAATTTTTATTTAATATTGATTACATTTAATTCTTATTGAATGTCATTTTTTTACCTTACCACTGGTTCGGAAAATACTGAGTCCTGGGAAGAACCAGCAAGAAACCCAGCTGGTCATTTTTAAAGTAAATTATATAATATATTTTAGAAACAGCTTGGAAGCGACCACCTCATTCTCAGGGGTTATTATCAACCATGTATTCACTTATATTTTTATACCATTTTTTTATTTTTTTATAGAATATAATGACAAACGAGTACACAGTCCACGTGATGGTAAGTGGCTGCTGTGGCTCATAGACATCTACATTTATCCTCGATTATTAATCAAAATGCAGGTACATTGTCACCCCTGAGGACTAAAATGGAATGCCGTGTTTACAGTAAAAAGGGTCTCCGATTCTCTATAGTAATAATATGAAACACAGCAGCGTTGAGTTCCTATTTTACGTTGGTATTCTGGGAGAGCGTGGTATAACGCATTCGTAAGATTTACAGATTTTGTTTATAAAATATTTAAATTTGCTGATAGTGAGACCTTGTTTATTTTTTTGGACTTTGATGTAATAGCGTATACATTGCTCTAAGAATGAATTACTGACTCTCTCACAATATGTTATCATAACGAAAAACACCATTCAATTGAGGAGTGAATACTGCCGAAAAACTATCACCACCAGACTTACACATTCTCACTACTTTTTCTCAGTAAATAAAGCGACAAAAATAACATCTTCACAATGCAGATGTGTAATTAGATTAACTCTAAGAATAAATGGGTAGTCTATGGAGCACACATACAATACATACAATGTTTTTAAAGTCGTATTTAGTTTTACTTGTAGTCATGCGATAAATATTTTTGATTTGATTTGATTTAAAAACTAAGAATAAGGCATGTTCCTGAGGCAGTGCTTGAATCGACGCGGCTTAAGTCCGTTATCGGTTCGATTCTTAACTCCGTAACGAAGCATACCTACGTACTTGCTCGTTATTAAATTTGAATCGCAGCGCAGTCAGAAACTCGATTTGTGGAGAAGTTTGCGTTTGGTTTACGTAAAGTTAGCGGTAGTGGTTCGCATCTATCAATGTCAGCTGAGAAACTTTTAACACTGCGTTACAGTTAAAACGTTTTTGAGAAATTTTCCTTTGCGGTCCCTTTATACTCGTACTTCTTTTAAGCTTTGTCTTTAAGGGGATATAGTAAGTCAGCTCAAATTCAAATTTCGCCCCCACTTCCCCGCGCGTCGTATGCTATGTACCGACATGTTTTTAATCACTAATACTGTAAGTAGATAGGTCGTTAGAAACTTATTTCATTAGGTTTATCATATATATGCCCGTTTCTTAACGCCAACCCAGTCGCTTCTTATTTTTATCACGGTTATTTCCCATTTTAATTTTACGTCGTCCTGTTGCGTAATGTGTATTCTGATCGTAAGCGACACAACCTCCCCCTTCAAAGGCCGGAGCGAAACTGACCGGGCGGCAGGAATCAAGTTTCATTACGCCGATATTTTAGGTAATTTCTTTTTACAGTGAAAATAATGGTATTTAAAAAAAATTAAATAACATAAGCACTGCTTTATAGTTAGTTCAGTTAGTATGCAAAGTTTCATGATCTTATTTAAAGTATTTTATGAATAACAGCGGTTTATTGTTCAGTTTGGAGGTAACTTTGGATTTTTTTTCTATCGAGAAAATTTTACGGAATCGTGTTTTCGTCTAAAATAGTCCTTAACATTATTCCTCAACTTTACCATATATTTGTTTCAAAATTAATGCTGCAATACTTTCGGCATAACTGAGGATCTTGCTAAGCCATTTGAGGTTATATTTCCCCTTAAGGTCGTTAAATTAACTTAATGATTGTTGTTTATAGAAATACTAAGCAGATGATATAAAATGACTGCCTCATTAGTCTAGTGGTCGTAAATGCGATTGGTGATCATGAGGTTTCGAATCCCGGGTTAGGCCAGAGTAACTTATTTGTTTTTTATCAAGAAATTTTCAGTAGCAGCCCGGAGTTAGGAAGCTGGCGGTATTATACCCCCAAGCCTCGGAAAGCAAGTAAAGCCGTTGGTCCTCTCCTTAATCTCTTTCCGGTCGTGTCGAGTTACCCTCCAATCGGACCATGAGTGTGAGGAAATAGAAAGTGCACCTCTACTTGTGCATCCATTTGGGTACTGTAATCCTGTCCTGCGCAGATCGTTAGTCTCCGTTGAGACTGGCTATCGTGACGAAAATTTGCTAAATGTAGTTTTTATGTGAGCGTAGAACGCATTTAGACTAGAAACTCTAGGTTGAAAAATTTTGTTGAACAATTGAATTAAAATTGGACCTACGCAAAACGTTTTCCAACCGTAGTGTGAGTTTACAACATTTTTCTCTTTTGAAATGTAAAATGTAGTTGCACTTTTGTCAGTCAAGTAATGAGAGACCTTTATAATAATTAGTTTACAAAGTTCTTCACAATATGTTGATGCGTAACGTTTTTAAGTTTTTGGGAGATTTTCACGGTAGCTATAGCCAGCAGACAATGGTATCTTGAGACACCTAAGCAGAAAAAATAGCTTGTTGTTTACATAACTGCCGGATCACTTCATTTTCACTAATAGTATACATGTGCATGTCATTTAATACACAAAATCCCTTCACTTTTATGTATCAAAAT